GAGTTTAGAGGAACAACTTGTAGATGGGGGGGTTGAATACAAACACAGAAAACTTTCGTATTTAAAAATATATATTGATATAGAAGGATCAATACTTTTACAAATTGTTTGCGGAAATAGAAAGGTAAAGATAGTCTATCTAAAACAGTATAAGATTACACACAAATATACTTAGCAAATAAAAGAAATTTGCCTAATAAGATAAAGACAGAAAGATGTTCTTCTTGGGTAAGAACTTTAGAATTGGAGATAAATTCTAACTTGCTTGAAGATAAGCATATGTGTTCTTTTGTGTGTTATAGATAGATGTAGTGCATGAGGAGAGGACTCAACTATTTATACCTATTGCATTAAATGGAATTCAGAAGGTTAGAACACGCGTCAAGGTTTTAGAAGAAAGCTTGTTATTTGCAATAGTGAATAGTACTATTGTCTATTCATGAGTAGACATCCTTTCATGGAGTTGGTGGGCACTAGAGTCGACTAGTCGGCTCCGTGTAGTACTATACTCTTAAAAGGGTATGGGTTTGTCATTTGTGTGTGGAAGAACAAGACAAAAACAATCGTGCATGACAAGCTTCATTTGATCGCTGAATGATGGAATAACGTTGGAGGTCTCTTCAGCATTCACTGAGGCTTGTGCAGTTTTCACACATATGTTGAACATGTTGTAATCACTGAATACCGTTTCAGATCACGAAGACACCAGACACTATTCTTCAGTTTCAGTCTTCGACATTCACTGAAGATTCTTGGGTGTGAGTTTTGTCTTCTTGAAGTATCGTTGTCGTTGTAGGATTACAATGCATGTCTCAGCGGTCACTGAACAGACTCAGTGATGATCGTTGGAACTGAAAAGACAGAAACATAATACTTTGAAAGGTAAAAGTGATTATCATCAAATCAATGAGAGAGAGGATCAACAATCTCCTCCTATTTGATGATGACAAAGCAACATAAAGAAAATTGCCTTAAGGTTTAATAGTAAGGAAAAGTTACATATAAAGTACATGTCCCCTTCAACTAACAAGTCAACTATTGTCCTCTCTAAAAATCCAGTTTTTTCATGGGAGAAGCAAGCATATCAGACTTAAGTTTCATTTCATTCGAGAGCTGATTTCAAACAATGAAGTTAAGATTAAATTATGTTGTTCAAAAGATCAACTTGCTGACTGCTTTACTAAAGCTCTTCAATCAGGAATCTTCACAGTTACGAAAGGCAATTTGAAGGTGCAACCATTACTAGCTTAGGGGGTGTGTTGAATTTAAGCTCAGGATGGTTGTTATTTATCTGTTTCTGTCATTAACTGTTACTTTTGTTAGTGACAATTATGTTAGTTATTTTCTGTTTTATGGTTGGGAGTTATAGTTAACTGTCAAGTTGTCTTTTGTGAAAGGTTGTGACCTTTCATTTGTGTCTTTTCGGTTTGTACATAACGGGTCTGTTTGTTGTAATCGTTTATGTGGTTATTAAATAAAATAAAAGAAGCAGTTATATGGAATTAAGAGGGAATTATTTTGGTGCATTATCTATTATATGCTTTATATATTGGTTTATTGAAGCTTCAAATGTGCAATCGATGATAAAAGAGAAATTAAATGACAGATGGAGACAGAGACATAAATACAAGATCAGGTGGATGTGTTTTCCAATTTGCATGAAAGAACATCATTTCTTGTCAATCATGAGATCACACAGAGGATTTTAATTTATGACTCAAATCTGCTCAAGGATGCTAGAAAGGAATACAGATAGAGGATAACTTGAATCGCCAGAATTCTGAACAAAGTAAGAGGTGAAGAATAGTTCCAACACCATCATGGCCCCATGTACTTCAAATGAAATGTGGCTATGATTCCTAACAGACAGGAAATTCTAGCTATATGTCTATGGAGTTGTCTGATAACATATATGACTCAATAATATGTCATGTATATAGATATAACTATTAATTGAAATAATGAGAAAGCCACTATGTATCACTTGGTTTTCTCTTGATGTTTTAGGAGGCGAAAGTTTTTGTTTTTTGGGAAGAGGGACAATATGGCTAATGAACTACTTATTAACCTATTGTAGAAGGAATGGTACATGGTAAATATTTGAAAATTTGACTCCATATACTGAAAAACAAGTAGAGGAACATATAAGTCATTTTGGATGATGCATGAATTCAGGTTAAAATTATATGGAGTAATCTTAATATGAGCCCAATCAGAAAGAAAAGCATTTCATAAATAAGACACGAGTAGAGTCTTGCATGCATAATTGACAAGTTTACGCAAATATGATTTGTGGAGACACTAAAAAAACCCTTTCTTATATCTAAATAAACTAAAAAGCATAAACTAGAATGTCAGACGTGAGTTCATCCTAGCCCAAATTTGCCTCCCCGCTTTGCATCATGATTGTATCATCCCAAACAACCGTACCAGATATTGTTCGTTTTATCTACACATAGACTCAGTTTTAAAACTCGTCTGATAGAGGAGGTATCAAATCCCTTATAAGACAACATTTATTCTTCTTCTCAACAGATGTAGAATCTTAGAATCCACCCCCTTGAGAGTCCAACGTCCTTGCTAGCAGACCAATCTGGTTCCTAGCTCCAATATATTATTTGGCAGACACGGCAACCGTCAATGAGTGTAATCTCGATGCACCAATTGTAGTTGCAAGAGTGATGTAGAGCACCTAGCATAGCACAACTCGAAGAACAAATGGTCTCAGACAAAATTGAGACAAAATGAATAGAAGTTCATGCAACTTCCTACTTGAGCTAAGGTGCCGGGAAAGTCATGTAACTCACTGGATCTCAAAACAACATTTCCCACGGCTTCCCACACGGCCTCACGCGCTGGAATGGTCGCACAACTCGCTGGATGCTCAACAGAAGACCTCACAATCAACTCTGTGACTTAAGCAGCATGGTCAGTCGCGCGCATAGACATGAGTGATTCCCCTATTTAATTGATCGATCTCATGGTTCCTTAATAATTCCTGTAATCCTATCCTAAACTAGTTTTAGCTTTATCTTTATTATTTTGATTGTTTGTTAGCTAGTCTAAAATTCTTTCTTAAAGCCTTATTTGAAACTTTTAAGCTTAATCTTTAATTCAGATTATCAAATTATCAATAAAGCTTTTCTTTGAGTCCACTCAATTATACGGGAGTTCTTACGATTGTAAGCCTCTTAACCTTTGAGATTAGACGTTTGTCTGTTCATTATCGTTTCCTACTGTGCCAAAGAGAAGTGTCACTTATAGAGGTACACTTCACAGTTTGAATAAACAATTTTTACTCGTTATAGACAAATAAAAAGCATGATAGAAGCAGATTTCGCACGTCGAAATGTTTTAATTGATCATTTATGAGAGAAATATAGTAATCATAATGTTCAAATGCCTATATATTATTTTTTGTACTTGTTTTATAATGTAACATTTAGTATTTTACCAAAAATTATATATAAAAATAATTTTATTTGATAATTAATAAAAAAAAAGTATTAAGTAATTGTTAAAATAAAAAAACATGGGTAGAAATCATAAATTAGTAAAAATAAGGGTATTATTGAAAATTTAACAAATTAAATATAAAAAGAAATATATTGAAAATCTTAAAATTTGCTGTAGAAATAGTCTTATCTATTGAAGAATCTTATGTGAGATTTAGGGGCTGTTTGTTTTTAATAAAAAAAGCTCTTAATGTTCTCTTAAGTCTGAATCAGTCAGACATAAGATGATTCAGTGTGTTTGTTTTTTTTTTTCAATTAAGAGCTTAAAAGCTCTTATTAGGTCTGAAAATTTAAGTGGTTGAGAAACCTCTTATTACCTCTTATTTYAAATCGTCGCCTACCTACTCTGATCTCTTTACGCTCGATTTATCTGGATCAACTCTTATGTCTCGATCGCTCATCTCTCAACTATGTCAACTGTCAATTCATATCAACTCTCGATCTCTCATCTTCAAACTTCAGATTTCAGACGCAAAAAACGAACAGTCTGATTGATTCAGATTTTAGACTTCAGTACCACCTCTTAAAAATCAGAAGTGAATTCAAACTTTAGACTTCAGCACTTTTTAAAAAACAATCCATTGGAGATGCCTTGTTTTTCTTTAAGGGTTTTGTCTTTGATTTTGGTTTCATGATAATGTTTTTGGATTTGAATTTAGATTTTGGTTTTGTAATGAATTTATGAAATATGTGGTGTTTGGTTAGTGACAATGGTTAGTGGTAGTCAGTAGCTTGGGGAGTAAGAAGATAGGTAAATTGACAGATCTACCCTCATGTGAGGGGCAAGTGCATCCTTTTAACGGACCTTAAGTTTACCGTGTTAACTCGAGGGATCATCAATGTTATGAAAATGAAAACATTAGAACCACCAGAGTTGATACTGTGTTTGAGAATTTTTGGTTTTCGATTGCTTGGAATCCACTGAAAGTCGTATATCACTTTCAGATTGAAGTATTTCGATGGTACAATCGAAATCTCAATCGGATAAAATTCAGTGGTTGACAGAACAGAGAATCCAAATTGTTATGAATCTGTGTACCTCTCAAGAGACGAAATGACCAATTCAAAAATTGAATACGGAAACCGTAAAAAAAAACAGTTTTTGAACCCTAAACCGGGTTTAAAAAACAGCTCGACCCGAGCCAGGGGCTGCTGCGCCCCGGACCCCGTTGTTGTTTAGGGGCTTCGCCCCTAAATCAAAATAAACTCAAACAAGTGTGCACTCCGCACCTTCCTTACTTGTTCAATATTTATCATGATTACATTAGTCAATAAATTAATCTCATTACACTTAAATGATATTAGTGATACAAATCACCGACAAGAGACGATATAGAATTTTGGAGCAAAGGGTAGGGACCAAGGGTGTAATTCAGTCTTTTATTGTTGCTGTGACAAGTATAATTACAATCCGGATAAACTGCTTTGACGGAGCAATCAACCAAATAAATAGGGTTGTTAAAATACTCAGCATTCATGTTCACGATGACACAGCCTGGATCTGCTAACCGGAAACCTACTGTCTTCTTTCTCTTTCTCGCCGGAGTGCTCATCGCATTTCTGTTTCTTTCAGTTATCTTCACTTTCTCTTCTTCCAATTCACTCCCCGCTCTTTCCCGTTTGCGGTCCACTGATGCATGCAACTGTAATGGCAACAACCCTCCACGATTCAACCTCGGATTTGATCCACCTGTTTTAACCTTCTACGATGATCCATCTTTCGGGTACACCTTTGCCAAGCCCATCAAGAACTGGGACAAAAAGAGACGAGAATGGCTGATGCTGCATCCTTCTTTTGCTTCTGGATCCGAAGACCGGATTTTTCTGGTGACTGGATCACAATCATTGCCATGCCAGAACCCTAAAGGTGATCATTTTCTCCTGAGGTTTTACAGGAACAAAGTAGATTACTCTAGGATTCATGGCTATGATATCTTCTACAACAATGTGTTACTCGACCCTAAAATGGTGGGGTGTTGGGCAAAACTATCAGCAGTTAGGGCAGCTATGTTGGCACACCCTGAGGCTGAGTGGACCTGGTGGATTGACGAGGATGCTGTGTTTACTGACATGGATTTTAAGGTCCCATTAGAACGTTATAAAGATCAGAATTTTGTCGTCCATGGCTGGCCTAGGGAGGTCTACGAGGAGAAAAACTGGCTAGGTTTGAATGCTGGCTCGTTCCTCATCAGGAATTGCCAATGGTCATTGGATTTCTTGGACGCATGGGCTGATATGGGGCCGCAATCGAAGAACCACGAGAAATGGAGGAAAATCTTGTTGACAACGTTTAAGCATGGAGCTGACGATCAAACTGCACTTGCATATTTGCTAGTGAAAGAAAGAGAGGATCAATTACGTAGCAAAGTGCATATAGAAATTGGGTATTATCTTGAAGGATATTGGCTGGTTATTAAGGATACACTCAAGAACATCACAGATAAATACGTGGACATCGAGAAGGGAGACAAGAAGTTGAGAAGGCGGCATGCTGAATTGGTGAGCGAGAAGTATGCCAAAGTCTGGGAACCACATCTGAAAGATGCCGGTTATGGGTACGGAAGCTGGAGGAGGCCGTTTGTGACTCATTTTGCTGGTTGTCAGCCGTGTAACGGCAAGATCAACCCATCGTTCTCGAGGGAAAGTTGTTGGGAGGCCATGGACAAGGTTTTGAATTACGCTGATAATCAGGTTCTCCGTAATTACGGGTTTACGCACCCGGATTTATCGGATCCGTCCGTGGTATCTCCTTTATGATTTCATCATTTGACGTATTAGCGATATGGGTTTCTAGTGTTTTTGTGTCGTTAGAAGGTACGTTTTAGTGTATTGTACATTATCAAGTTTTCTATCGATGTCTTTAGAATCAAAAGGAAATATCTGGTTCGCTCCTTAATCTTGAATATCATTATAATTATACTCTCATTTATATTTCTATAACTTTCACGACGTTCCAATCTTTTTGGAGGCCCTGTTACATCCACAATTTTTTATTACATTGCATAAATGAGATAACAGAGAATATAAGTTAAGAACAAAAATAAGCTAAACCTAAAACGATTAACAATCTGAAACTAAACCTAAATCATTAATGATTTGAACCTAAAACCAAACAATTATTGGTTTGAGCCTAAAAAATTTCAGCCATAATTTTACATATGTCAATAAAAAGACCCTAAACACATGTAAATTTAGGTCCCACCCAAAATTTTGAAGCATTGTTCAAAATCTCATATTTAACATGTTAAGGGACGACTCTGTCATCAACACTAATGTTTTTAGAATTTCAAAACATAAGTTATATTATAATTTTTATGTTTAATAAATAATTAGTTGATATATTCTTTTAATTATAATTCATCATTAATTTGCAAGTGAAATGCTTAATTCACTATAAGAAAAACTATAATTTTCGTTATAAATCCATTAGAAACTGAAGATTAGGTTAACTTGCATTTTATAAAGTACACTTAATTTCCTGAGTTCTAATAATTATTTACAAATTGAAATTCTTTTGAAAAATTTCCCTTTATAAATAATTAATTATAAATATTATAATTAAACAATAAATTTTAGTAGTTACACTTTATTTTTTGCTTATTGTTATAATACTTTAAATAATTAATTATAAATATTATAATTAAACAATAAATTGTAAGTGGTTGTTTGTTTACTTATTAATAAGGCAACATCTGAACCGTTAAGAAGTGAATCTTGTTTGGCAAAAAAAGTCAGCCTCTTAATGGTTCTAAAACCCCCATAATGATTTTGTATCTTGGATCTCCCTTAATCATTAAGAGCGCTAATTTCATTGTACACAATTACCAAAAAATTATATTTCATTTTGCACTATATCATGAGAGCCTCTTAATCATTCTGACCACTTAATCATTCTGCACCAAACCATTCAGCAATTGCCAAACAGCCCCTAAATCGAATTAACCATTTAACCTAAAACCATGTTGGGATTTGATTAAGTCATTGTAGTTTGTTACGTCGTTTGATTTGGTAGATTTTATATTGGGATCCATGTTGCATTTAATGAGCTACTTGGTTTTTATAACGACAATCAATTGATTAGATCTTCTTTTATATATAAATCGTTAATTAATCAGGGGTTTGATACAATATTGCAAGTAGTTCATTCTACTATTTTGAAAACTAGAGTTAAACAATGCAACAATCATTACAAAATTTACGATAGAAGTGTTTTGTTATAACGCTCATAACCATCCTAATAGAGTATTTTATGTGTGATTTAGAATTTATATGTGATAAAAAATGGTGTAATCTATCTAAAGATGTTACAAGTTATTAGGACAAAATTCGACAATCTAACACGTTTTATCATAGAGAAGATGCTACGGCAAACACCTTGTTTGTCAACCATATACTTTTTTTTTGGACCGCAAGAACGAAATTTATTCCGAACGAAATAAAAGACTAGCGAGGAGCTAGTTGATAACAGAGTACACCGCCTCAACCGGATTATTAATCCACCTCTCCCAACTAAAAGATTTGCTAAAATTTGCTCTACATCTAATCCAATCGAAAGCGGTGAATTGAATCTCGCTACAAACATCCTTATCAGATTTGCTTATTCCGTTGAACGCCTTGCGGTTTCTTTGAATCCAAATGCTCCAAAAGAAAGCAGCCACAATCACTTTACCAACCTTTCTTGTGTACTTGTCCCGTATCGTCGCAATCGCCGTCCACATGCTACGAGCAGAGGAAGCATTAACCGGCCACCAGTTCACCCACGAAGCCAAGTGCGCGTTGATAACCTTTGCCGTGGAGCATGTCGTAAAAATGTGGTCCAAGCTCTCCTCCGACACTAGGCACGTCGGACAATCTGCCGAGTTGAGACTCACTCCACGTTTCAAAAGATTGTCCTTAGTAGCCAACCGATTGATGAGCGTACGCCATAAATGGATGTCACTTAAGCCAATCCGTTTCCATATCTTCCATAGGGAGCAGGACCCAAGAGATCTGTTTGTCAACAATATACTAGTTAGCTTATCTTTTTGAGCATTTTGAAAAAGACCCATTTGGATAAAACGTCTCTCCTCGCCACACCCCCACGGCCAACGAAATTCCCCACTCCCCCATGGTCGGCGATATTCCTCCCCTATCTTCGGTCACCTCCAACTCTCTATATATCTCAATCCTATCTCTTTCATCTATTTCTTCATACACCTGAACACCGTCCATTGTAGTCATCACCACCAACCTATTTACCGCCACCACCACCACCACCACCATCTTCCATTCCCTTCTCTACTCACATGTGCCCAAATCCGACATCCCCTACCCCTTTTGTCCGGTTTGCATTCCGAGACAATGAGAGCTATGGATAACAAGGACTAGCTGTTGACTGACACTCCAAGTTCAGATCATTCGAGTACATAACAACTTGCGATTACAAATAACACAAGTTTATACATAACAAATCACATTAGGATACAACTTTTGTCCACTTCTGCAGAACTATACAAGTGACTAAAAGCTACGATAAACTTTTTGATAATAAGATCTTTATACAAAAGAGTTCACATGATAAGAAGATCAAAAGCTATAACACCCTCATTTTCACCATGAGTTTTGTCACGTCATTCTCATTAAATAACAATAAATAACTCCAAAATATAGCGGCTAATAAAGTTTTATTACAGCGGAAGTCTTACAATAATTTAATTGTAATCAATATCTCAAAACTAACCCGTCCATACTAGGTTACGTTACATGTAAATCCAATTAAAATACTAAAGATTTTATAAATCATAACCTGAATAATAGTTATATTTTCTATGTAGAACCTTTGTCTTGTCCGTTCTTGAACTTCCAGCTCCTGAGATGCATACTAATAATCAGCTTTATAAAGCTCAGTAAGTTCATGATTTTTGTGCACAATCATACATATCTCATCATGCATAAAACAAACAATACCCCCAAACACAATAATATGCACATTTGTTTCAAACCCTTTTGAAATAATAATGAGATCTCTTAATTTCCCGTCGGGTTAAGGTCTTACCGTCATCGGCACTTTCCCGGGTTACACGGCTATCCCTTGTCCGGTCACCCATCCCTAGGTTGTGCCATCCCTTATGACTTTTGACCCATTCCCATATCCGACAAAAATATTAATTCTTTTATAACATACTAATTAATATTTAAAACATGTAAACAAATAGCATGCAACCCACAATAATAATTCATATACATGTAATAAACACATAAACATGTACATAAAAAATATCGTAATGCTCAAATAATTTGTACATAAACATGCATACCAGTTAAAGTCTCATGAAGACTCACATGAATAGCTCCACTTAGCTAAACCTTGCCCCTGAGTAATATCCTATAACATGTAATTATATTTCAATAGTTAGATATTGACTTTTCCCCAAAAAGTCAACACGAAAGTTAAACGGGTCAACCTTAGGGAGGGGATGGTCAACGGGTCAACCAAGCATACCTCGTCGCCATATACCCCCCTCCCCAATGGGTCAACCCATTTTGAGTTTTTGTACCCGAATCTCGTCGAGCCGCCGCCACAGGAGCTTCTAGCCTAAACCGCTCGACGTACAAGCCACCATAGCCCACGAGACTTGTACCAACAGAAAGATAATTGAAAAACGAAACCAACCATATATTATACATCAATTTTGGTCGAGTATTTTACCTCCAATAGCCGTTTTTGTGCGGAATGACCCTATGCCGCTTCAAACTCGATATCTCTCWCGTTTCTTGATGAAATCTCGAAATTCCAAAGACATTTACTCCCTTACACCCTTAGTAACTTCTCCACAAAATTCAGCCGAAAATTCTAATTTATAGGCCATCAAACCGTCTCTAGAATAGGAAAAATGTGATTTGGGGAAATGATTTTGCAAATTTCAATCATTTCCAAATTAGTTTTCTACTTTTGGCAGAACTAGTCTCTTTTGTTTTTCTTTCTGCATTTTCATCCCAAATCAATTAAATACAAAATATTTCATTTCTTTTTTTATTGATTTTATTTATTGCAATAAAATCATATTTTCGAGTATCGACACTTTAATCCCGTATGTCGTTTACTCTTTAAATTTTAACCTTTAACATTTATTTATTTTACGAATCATAAATTTTTAGGGTGTTACAAAAGCATACTTCAAAAACTCCTCGACAGGCTTCATACATGAAAACCCAAATAGACAATCTCACATTTTCCCCTTTCTTTTTCACCATCTAAACGTTGCCATGAAATGCATACTTTTAAAAACAAATTGAAGGTTAAACCATAAAGCCAAGTGAGTAAATCATTGTCAAACGCAATAATCCAGTAAAACCAGATAATATCAAACCATTGAATCAGTTAGTCACAAAGTAGGCTCTTAGGCACTAAATCTCTCCAAGGCAACTAGCCATAACAGTCGTTTTCTAAATATCCCCACTCCGATAGGACAACAATTAGTATCGACAGTGAAACCACATGAAACACATTCATGGGATAAAGTTGCGCTCCCTACGCAGACCATTACAGTCTCATACGCTCACGAGCTTCTATTATGTAACTCCCTTTAACCCATATATCATTCATCAAACCACATGAATTAATACTCAACAACTTGTAACAAATACTGTATCATAATTAACGATAAATCCAAACATACCAATAGGTATAACAACAAAATAGTATTCATTTGATACCATACACATTTCAATTCGAAGAGGTTATAAAAAAACTCACCTTGATACGATAAAAAAGATAT